TAAATTATTTAGTAGATGCAAAGCACTTAGTATAGTACCTCCTCTGTAAAACAAACGCTCAATAGTTCTTAGATGTTTTGTTGTTGCTATTATTATAATATCTACCACCTACTGGATACACAGCATTGTTATACAAGTTTATCAACTTATCTAAAACAGAATCCTTGGGTTTTTCCCCCTGACTTTTCTCTCCTCTAGCCTTCACTGTATAAGTAAATGGCACCACCTGTTGCTTACAAAATTAGGGACATTATCTCTAATTTCTCTCTTTCCCTTACCTACCACATCCAATCTCCTGGCAAAGGTATGAAGATTATACCATCAAACCATGCCTATATTTTTGCAACTCCATTGCTATTACCCTGATCCTGACCATTGCTATTACCCTGATCCCGACACCACGACCTCTGTTCTTTACTTTACTAATACATGCCTTTAAACTTGTTTTATTTTCTTTGCTTGTTCCCTTACATTATCATGCAGAATCCATCATCATGTATAACAGTTATTTTACAAGACTTCCCAGTCACATTCTTCAGTGACTTCATCATGTGTAGAATAAAATCCAAATTCTTCATGAACGACAAGGCCCTGCAAGATTGCAAACTTGTCCTTTTCTTCCACATCATCTTGTCCAACCTCCCTTTTAATTCACCATACTTGAGTCATCCTTTTTGCCTTTTTCTTCCTTGAAATTATCTCTTTATCCTTTACTGATTCAAAGCTTGTGCACTGATTTTTCCTTCTACCTGGATGCTGCTCCTTCAGGTCTTTTAATAGTTGGTTTGTTTTCTTTCTCTAGGTATCAGCTCAGAAATCATCTGTCCCCTGCACCCTTGTAAAATTTAGATATTTTACATGCATAATTATATGATATTTGAGTACGATAGTTTGAATTGTTCATTGAACCAAATTGGTGAAATAATTATTTTTATCAGTGACTTTCAAGCTTCATTCTTTTTCTCTGGACAACATTTTTTATCAATAAACTCTTAGTTTGAATTACATTGTATAAATATGGTAAAATCAGGACTCTCGTGCTTGCATTGGGATAGGTGAAAAGGAAGGAACCAGACTCCAAACTGTTATTCCTTTCCACTGTTCCCTAGAGACATACTGACTCTTAGAAGCCGGATTTTAAAACCAACTGTCTGCACAAACTACACATAAATAAAGCAGTTTTGAATTAGAAAGATGACCATGTCTACACCCACATAATATAAAGTATCTAATCAATTTAATGAAAAGAGATATTTATTGCATTTTCTTATTTTATCTTCACAAATTTCTTCCTATAACTACATTTTCACCTTGAGGTTAGTCTGGAAAATGTGTTCCTAGCATCCAGACTTGCACAAAGTAAATGATTTTTGATTAAATTAAAGACAGACAAATTCTATCTTTAGTTTTATGTTCCTTTCTGAACTTTACAAAGTTTCATGTTTTCTCTGGATACATTTCATATTTTGTGCCAGTAATATATTCAAGCATGATATCTATATGGCCTGCTTACTGAGTACCAGGAAATGCTAGGTACTGTCCTGCATTAGGAGCATTTTTCCCCCTCATTGGTACATTGTAAGTGTGTATAATACTGGGATTCATTTTGCCATATTTATACATACACATAGTATAATTTGATCAATCTTGTTCCCCAATATGAGTGTTTTACTTAATGGTCATAAAAATCTTTGAAGGTAGGTATTATCCCTAGTTTTACTTATGAAGCATGTATAGTTTAATTAATTAGTACCTTATTTAACAGAAAGCATAGGATCAAAAATATGGTCATTCTGACTTGAAGTTGTATTTTCTTTCTTTTACATTACAAAAACCCCAAATTTAATTCTCTGATCAATAGAGAGGAACTGTGAAAGAATCATGTTAGTTTTGAAGGTTCAAAGTCACAATTCATTAAAAAATGAATGTTAAAGGGGAAGTCTCATCTTATTGGACTGGTCTGGAGGCAGAGGCCACAGGAGCACATGTTGAGCCTTTATTGTGGTTTCCATGGAAAGGAAAGGACAAGGCAGAGTAAGTGTTTTAGATTTGGCTACTTTGGGTAAATTCAATAGGTTCTGGGTAGAAGGGCTGACCATTCCCCATCTTATTTATCTGGTACCTGGTCCTTGGGGATTAGGACAGGTGGAGAGAAGCCTGGAGGCAGTCATGGGCATGTCGATTTGCATATCAAAGGCACACTTTAGGAGAAACCTTTATTATCTCCAGAATTGGCAGCCTTGGAAGGTGCAGTTTTACCAGGTAAGCAAGGCCCTAAAATGTCAAAGCATCAGAAATGATAGGTGCCGGAAAGCTTTTCCTAGAGCTTCTACAAATGCTTTGGAAGAACTCTCCTGTCTTTCCCTTTTGAGCTGGGAGACCTGGAACTGCAATGCTGCAAATCTCACTACCACCCCTAGGCTGAGGTTGAGGCACAGAGTTGGGTGGGCATAGAGAATTGCAAAAGCATTAGAATCATTAGGTTTACTCTGAATCTTGTGGATCTTTGGCTTTCAATTATGTGAACCACATGTTTTCTTATTCTTTAAGTCTGTTTATTGCTGCTCATTTGTTTTTGTTGTTCTTAGACATCCTTTTGTTGTTGTTTTCAGTCATGCTGTTCTAACATTTACAAAACCACAGTGTGAAACCTACAGGGTCTATTTGGAAGGGATTAATTTTCATAGAAATGGAGAAATATTGCAAATTTGCATTGAATGATTGTCAGATGTGTTACAGAGGCTTACTAAATGTTTTTCCTCACAGAATAAAGGGAGAAAGCAAGACTTTTAGTTGCATTTGCATTTAATAGGTGACCTAAGTGTAATATCTTTCTTCAAAAATCTTTCTGAAATATCTAATCACTGCTGGATAGGAGAAAGTCATGTAGAATTTCTATAATAGTCTCCCATTTTCAATATTTCATGCTAGGGTAATGGAAATTCATATGGAGATTAAAAAAAAGCTTACAGGTTTTCAGAATAGGAAAGCACTTATTTTCTTGTGAAAAGATGGTTAATGGGAAAACCTCAATCAAATTCATTTGTTCAGTTTATGCTATGTGTATGGCGGGCATAATAGTACTACACCATCTAGGTGTACCCATTACACTGATAGCCTCATTAACATATATATCTTGAGTGCGCATGTGTGGTTTGTAGGTGTGTAAATATATTTTTATAAATTTGTATGTGTATGAACATGAAATATTTTTGACACAAGAAACATATTTCAAATCATATCCTAGTTTAATAGAAGTGTGATTTCTTAAAAACTACTTAAAATATAATTTATAAGTTTTATTTAATTAAGATTCATGGTTTTAAATAAATCAAATAATACCCAAAAGTGATTATAACAAAAATCAGTGTGTTCCTTTGACTGGCCATCTAATTTTAGATTTCAATGTTGATAGCTTTTAGCTCTTTATTTGTTCCCAAGATTTCCATATTTTTTAAAAATATAAAATGTTTCTACTGCTTTATAGTTTTGTTTGTTACATGTTGATTATTTATTTATTTATTTATTTAATTCCTTTGTACTTTTACCCCCTTTCTTATTTTGTCAATTTTTTTTAAAAAAATTGTTTTTAAAAGACAGAACAATGGTGTTTTGTCTTTTAAATTGACAAATAAAATTATATGTAATTTTGATGTGGACATAATGTTTTGAAATACATACACATGTGGAATGGCTAAGTCAAACTAACATATGCATTACCTCACATATTTTTCCTGGAACAAGTTAATAGATTACTGTACAACATGGTGCCTGAAACTAACACAATGTATTATATATTTGAAAATTGCTAAGAGAATAGATACTAAGTTTTCTTATCTCATCTGCTTAATGCAGTTCTAGCACTAATTTAGTGGGTAATCATTATGATAATGTAAACAGTGTATGTTAAGAAGTATAATATTATTGCAGTAATAATTGTCATGCTTTTGTTTGCCTAATTTGTTTCACATTGATTTTTGTACACATCCCACAATATTGCTTATCATAACATTGATTGATCAAGTTTATATGTTCCTGCAAATTTGACCTCCCTCTTGTTTGAGTTTGGCCTCCTTGCTTTCTGCCTACTGCACTGCTGTTAAATTGTAGGTCTTCTTTACCTCTCTTATGGTTCAATTATAATTTTCTGAATTGTGTGTCTCCTACTTTATAGCTTTGATGTCTTGTGCTCCTTGAGTATATTCTACAGCTGCTTCCCAAGAGAAGTGGCAAGAGAGTTCTAACATCTTGTATTCTGTTTTCAGGTTGTGTTGATATTAGTTTGAAAAAAATAATCCTCCAGAATTCTGAAGTCATTTTTTCATTTTCTTCTAGAATCCAGTGCTATAGAGAAATCTAATGCCATTATGATTCTCTGATGTTTTCTCTTCCATCAAGTGTTACTAGTCCTTAAATTACCCCTTAATTCTCATTAAGTATTTTTAGAATTTTATCCAGCTCTCCTTTTGATCTTATCTTGCTGTGTGATCCAAACCACTCTCAGTAGCTAATCTCTCTTCTTCAGTCACTGATTGTTTTCTTTTTCTTTTCTTTTTTTAATTTTTATTTGACAGATAACTTCTGAATTAATATAAAGAAATTACAATAACTTGTATAAACACTAATTCAAAACATTTTTTGCTAAGCACCAATAGAACAGTTTCTGATCTTTTCACTGAAAATAACTGTATCGTTGAAAGACTGCCTCAAACTGAGTTTATTTAGAATTTTACTTAAGAAACATAAAGCTGCCAATCAGACCTTCTAATTAGCATTAGATGACCAGGTTAAATTCTTATGAGTTAAAAATAACTTTTAAGTTTTAACCTGTACAATCTAACGGAGGGGATCTGCTGGTCTCAAGCTGGTCATCACAGGTCATGGGTCCACAAGTCAGATAACATCCTCACAGAACACACAAAAAATGAGTAATAAGTATATACAAAGTATCATATACATGTTCCTGTATATTTAAGTGGAGTAATGCCTAATTCCCACAGGTATACAATGCAGCAAGGAGCACAGAAACAGATACCATTCACTAACCTGCAAGGACAGTGGAAGGAATAAAAAGTCCTGTGCCCTGGAATGGAGCAGAGGCTTTGTGGACCAGGTGGCATCCAGGACAGATCAGTAACACGAGTGATATCAAGGCAAGTGGGGAGGGACCTCAAGGACCGGAGAGGACAGAATAAACCAAGACATAGCCACAGACCTACTGACTATTCAGAAGACAGTGGAATGTTTGTACTGACTGAAGGGATGTAATCTAAGAGATGTATAAAACAGAGAAACTAAAACCTCCTCCGACAAGAGGGCAAAATACCTCTGCCATATTACTACACTAACCTATTATATTTTAACCCTTTTTCCAATCCATTTACAAAATATCTGCACTCTGTACTGCTCTGGAAGCGTTACAAATATTTCATAGATTCCTCTTCTTGAAGTAGTTTAGAGTTGAGGTGGCAAATTTACATATTTTTCTCCACTACCATGGATGGGTAGCTATCATAATAAGCCTAAAACCAAACTCCTTCTCCCTTGATTCTGAATATTGTAATTTTTCCCCTCAGAGCATAACAAACTAACAACTGGAAAAAAATATACAAAGTCATACAAAAATTTCAAAATTTTAAATACAAGCCCAAACACAAGAAAGAATCTGTGTCATCAAACTAATAGTCTAAACTTTGCTACCAAGAAAAAACAAACAAAAACAAAACAAAACCTCACTTCATTTACCAAGCTATAGGCATTTTATAAAATACTCAAGTAATTAACACCTCATTAAAAACTGGGGGAAATTTTTAGGTGGAAGCGAAATTTACACCAACTCATTCTTTAGCAAAGAGTTCTACTAAAATGTCATGTCCACACAGACAGGTTTGGCAAAACTGTCTGCTGGGGGCTCCTTGTATGCCAGACCCCTCCTGGATCTCCTTTAGAGGCATAGGGATATTGGTAGAGGCCTGCTCCAGGTAGATCAATGAACCCTGAGGGACTCTGGCCAGCTTTTGGGGCTACACATTGATGTCCTCCAGCACCTGCTGCTTATACTCAGCTTTGTCAAGTACTTCTGCACCAGTGCGTCTTTCCACTGCAATTCATTACTGAGTTCTGAGATGTCCTCTTCGATAACTTGCTCTGGTTTCTGGACAGACAACTGCAATCTTTGTTGTAGAATAAAACATTCTGTCTGTCTTGCTATATCCAGAAACTTCTGGAAACAGTGATCAACACTAGTTCAAATTTCTTCCTGATCTGTTACATTGACATAATCCTGACTCACGAGAGAAGCAAAGCAAGCCTCAAATGATAACTCCAACTCGTCTACCAGGGTGCTGCTAGAAGTTCTTAGAGCAGCAGGTGATGCTTGAAGAAGCGAGGCCTGGCCTGGAAGTCCTGGAGCAGGTTGCAGGGGCCCACAGCAGCTGCTTGGAGAACATACAGCCCAGTGGAGCCTCCATGTCTGGAGTCCTACTGATGGTTTTCAATCCAGTATCCAGCCAAGCAGATAATTGTAGAGCTCAAGTCTTATCTGTTACTTATCTATTCAACCCTGCACTTTATAATATTCCTATCTGAAAGTAGAAGCCCTCATGTGAGCTGTCCTTCCTTATCTCTGGCTACTCCTTCCCCCTCTCTCCACTCTTGCCACACTAGCCTTTTCCCACTGTCACATTTAACTTGACCACTATGTTTAAACTTTGTTCAATTTTTGCATGTTTAAGCCTCTTGTCCTGCTTTTATATTTCCCCATAGTAATTACTACCACCTCATATATTATATAACTTACATAATTATTTTCCATCCTCTCTTATCAGAAGGTAAAGTCAATAGTGGCAGGAATTTGGGTCTATTTTTGCTTCCCCACTCTATACTTAACAACCAAAAGAATGCTTGGCTTATAGTAGATTTTCTGTAAATATTTTTAATTAAATGAGTAAGAAGTTAACATTAGTAACTATGAAATAAAGGAAGAGTAGGATACACAAATAGCATAACTGGTGGGCAACACCAGTCTAACTTAAAAATGAATGCAGAACAGGGCCAACAGAGCAAACAGGGTTTCAGAGATCTCATGGTGTTGTGGTAATGAGCAAAAATGTCATTAAAAGAAATAACCAATATTCCTAGAAATTCTGTGAAAAATTTATCTGGAGAAATTTTATGTGAGGGTCATGGAATTGATTTAATTATTTCCTTATGTGATTATTTTTATTTCTATTTAAAAATCAGCCTATTAAGAACATTTACTTCAAGAGACCAGAGTATGATAGCTACTGTAGTTTATGGAGAATGGCTGAAGAATATTGAAGAATAAATATTTGTCTATCCTTCAGAATGTCTTGGTCAAATATTAGCTATCTCAGACAAGTTTTGCGAGATAGTAGATTAGCTATGGCAGAGGTATCCAGTGAGAACAAAATGCAGGCAATTCCTGTTGTAGTTGACAGGAGATCTGTACCCTCTGAATATGAGTGTGTAAGTAGACAAGATATTTTGTAGAGGAAAAGCCATCATAAAACTGTGTAGGAATGATTTTTTAGAAGGAGGGGTTATGGATTTTTGATAGAAGCAATATTTTATCTGAAAATGAACCCACTTTGAGACTTGTTTGAACACCCAATGTTCTACCCCATAAGGGCCAAACCAGAGGCAGAAATTTGAGAGGCATTCATTTAGAGGAAGTAAGTGTTGATTCATAAAGGCATGTGAGATTATGAAAGAGGACATTTTTGAGATTTAAAAGATGGCCAAAATTAGCTGCCAAATACATATATTTAAGATGTAATAAGAGAAATGTGAAGCACTTGGTCACTTTTTACTTATTAAATTTTGAAATCACTTCTTGTGCTTGGGTAATCTACTTTTTTATGTAGCCAAGCTTGGGGCCACTGATAAGTTGGTGCTGAAAGCAACTGCTGTACCCCTGTCCAAGAAACATCAGTGGCCTTTGTTCTCTGATGAATATCCAGATAGAGGAATTCCCAATGGTGGCACTGGGTGTTCTGGCATCTGTACCCAGGGCAGGGACAAAGGTGTCTTCATAAGATGAGCTTTTCAGCATGATTTTAGCCATTATTTCTGCTTCATAGCCTCCAAATTGGGCTTTTTTCCCACCAGAAATATATATATCAGATTGGTTGGTTGTATTTGTAATATATACATATAGTAAAATTGTATTGGTTCTTATTGTATTTTTAATATATACTTATAGTCAAATTTGACAATAATATATGTATTCAAATATATATATAAAATAGTCATATATATATGTATATATAACAGTTGTAAATTTGCACTAATAGTAAGATATTAAAGGAATAGCATATAGAGAATGTAAGTGCTCATAAGAGGGAATTTTGACTTACTATTCTAGCCTAAATAATGTTATTTATTTAGATATCTCTATTCTTGGTCCTTTTTTGTTTTGGTACCAGGGATTGAATTCAGGGGGGGCACTTAACCACTGAACCACATACCCAGCCCTAATTTGTAGTTTATTTAGAGACAGGGTCTCACTGAGTTGCTTAGTGCCTCACTGATACTGGGGCTGACTTTGAACCTGAAATCCTCTTGTTTCAGCCTCCAGAGCTGCTGGGATTACAGGTGTGTGCCACTGTGCCTGGCTATTGCTCCTCCTCTTCTACTACACATTCTTCTTGGAAACACGGTTTAATCATATTCATTTCTTGAGTCTACCTGTAGATGAATCACAGCCAGGACCCACAGGGTGAACTCCATCTCTGAGCTTAGTGTTATTTCCAAAACTCTGACACACTTTCTGCCTCCTGGCACTGCTCCTGTGTAATATCTCAGACACTAAAATTCAGTATGGTCATCTCTTTGCAATAAAAACTGTTTTCCTTTTCTTCCCATGTTCTGATAAGGATATTACCACCAACACTGGGTCCAAGCTATAAATCTGGCATTACCTTGAATTCCTTGCCCTTCCTCACTCCACTTTAACCAATTGGCCACATTGGTGAATATGTAACACTTAGACTTTAAAAAAGAAAGTCATTGCATACCAGAAAGGTCAATCACAGTGTAGTTTCTGCCTGATGTTCTTATTGGTCATCTACTTTTGTTCTGGAAAATATTGTAGTTTTATTTAACCTTTTGCAGTTTCCCAAATGTTACTTTTTTTTGCCCCTAATATCTTGTATTTCCCTCTCCCACAACAGGTTTCATCTAAAATATCATTGACAGTCCAGCAGTTAAGAAAGCACACTTCTGAGTCAGAAAACCCTTGATTCAAGTCTCAATCTGCAATTTACTAACAAGGAGCTCCTAGATCCATTAACTAGTAGGAGTATACATCAATATTTAACTTGTAAGGCTGGGATAATAACAATGTATAGCACAAAGTGTTAAGATTAAATGAAACAAGCCAGAGGGTGTAATATACTTAACCTATGATTGATGATGTTATTGCTACTATATAGAACTTGATTAAAGTGTCTTTGTCTCTATAAATGTATTTCTAATATTTTCTTAAGAAATATTTTTTCCTCTTGTACATTTCGATGCAGATACTTATATGTATAATATTCAATTGCATTTATTTATTTACATGTATCTAACTACACTGAGATATAATCAATGTAGTTAGGGCATTTTAAAAAAGTGCACATTCTATGGGCCAAGAACATTTACTGTGCTAAGAACCTAGTAAGAATGAAATGTATATTTATTCAAAGAAAAAGAATAGTAGAAGAAACACTATGTTCTGAAATCAGTACATATTGGGTCCTGCACCCAGGGTTCTCTTATTTAGCTGAGAGATTGACTGAAAATTTTGATATTTTGAGTGCTCAGATTCAATATATCTTGACACTCTGAACTTCAGATTTGTAGGCAGCTCTCCAGAATTTCTGTGTGCTGTCCTTGAAGGCAGTGAGAGGTATATTTTATTTAAGGTGACATTGAAAATAACATTGACTACTTTGAATGATGTGGAATTATAAATTATATTACTACAGGTAGACTGATAAGAAAGTTTTAATCAGCCAGAAGTAAAGAAATATAGCTTTTTATAGAAAATGCAGTTTTTTTTTTAAAAAAATAACTATCTTCTTTGATCAGTGACAGATAATTTTTGCCTTCTATCCATAGTGACTAGCACCTATCCTTGCAAC